GTGCTCGGTGGATAGTGCATTGGACTGTGGACTGAAAGGTCCCTGGTTTGATTCCAGTCAAGGGCATGTACCTTGGTTGTGGGCACATCTCCAGTGAGAGGTGTGCAAGAGGCAGCTGATGGATGTTTCTCTCTCATTGATGTTTCTAACTCTCTATCCCTCTCCCTTCCTCTCTGTAAAAAAATCAATAAAATATATTTTTTAAAAATTTAAGGAGGTGATGGGGATCAGAGGTACTGATTCTATATTCTCCTGACTTGGACTTCGCTATATTTGGAGAGTGGGGTACGCCAGCAGGGGTGTGGGTGGGAGTGCTTTGGGGTGTGGACCTGGCAAGTTCTCAGTTCCCAGGTGTGTCTAGTTACCTGGTCACCAGGAATAGTGAATGCCAGACTCACGGGGAGGACTCACCAATTGTCACATTGTCACCAAAGGTCACTTAGGAAACCGGGGGCTGCAGCAGTTCTCCTGATGTCGCCCTGCAAATATTTCACCCCTGACCTGTCCTAGGCCCCACATTCGAGTGAATGGGAGGCTCCTGTGGACTCGACCACCTGGGTTACCTGGTCGAGGTGCATGGCCCCACTGCACCCTCCGTGGGAGCCCAGCCCAGAGCTGGACTTCGTCCAGGGTGTCAGGAACACTATCTCCCAGGAGGGCAGTAGCTAGGCAGCCTCCTGTCCATGATCTGGTGCATCGGAAATTGCCAGGACGAGGAGAGGAGCCAGGCCTTCTTGCTATACATGATGCTGGGAGGCTTTAGTGAGGCCCAGGGCCCCCGCTCATGGCTTCCTACCCACTCAACATCTTCTCTCTGGTAAGAGCAGCTTTGCACGAGCACAGAGCTCCCGGGCCACGGCTCTGTGCGCAGCTCCAGCTGAACCTGAGTATATCTCTCTCCAACTCCCCCCACCTCCCCAAGGTGCTCCCAAGATGCCAAGTCAGCCCAGGTGCTCTCGAGGCTCTTTACCAACAGAAAGGATAACATTCCTCTCAAGTTCTCCGAAGACTGCCTTTACCTAAACATCTACACTCCCGCAGACTTGAACAGGAAGAGCAGGCTGCCGGTAAGGTGTGCGTTCCATATAGGAGCCATCTCCTGGTGTGGACTGGGGAGGAGGAAGGCAGCGTCGGGGGGAGTGTCTCAGCCACGGCTATTTTAGGGACCCTGGGCTTCCTTTGCTCTCCCTGGCCAGGCCATGTGACCCCAAGAAACACATGTTTTCCATCCCTCAGTTTCCCCCAGCGATAGTCATGGTGCCTCCGGGGACTTCGCTGTACATCTGTAACATATCGTCAGTTCTTTCCACGTTCTCTCATGTGAACAGAGGGACAAGCGTGACTACTGATAGTTGCAAGCTTAGGAATCTGATTGCCAGAGAACCTAAGGCATGCTTTCCAGTCAAGTTAGAGCTTGAAGGAACCTCACCGAGAAGGCAACACCCCAACCCTCCTTTTACAGACAGAGAATCAGGGAAGGCAAGGCCACCCAGTCGGGTTGGCAGGATCAGGGCAAGGGTTCTCTGAAAAATTGAGCCAATGGGTGGTGTTTGTCAGCCGCAAAGATGCTGCTCTGACCAGTGTCCCAGGGTGGCACAGAGGTGTGGAGGCAGAGCCCGGGGCAGTCCAAGAAGCAGTGTCCTTTGTCCTTGTCCTTTGCCTAAATATCTGAGATGTTCTTGAGCTAATTTCCCTTCCTAATTGTCTTTGGCTGGGGCAGTGTCCCAGTGAGTCAGCATTTCCTCAATAGGTAGAGGCCCAGAGAAGGGCAGCCTGAAGGTGGGGGTGGGTCTGCTGGGGGCAGTCCCTGGGGTGCAGAGGGACGGATGTGAGCAAGAGATACCACTGGGGGCATGGATGCTTCTTGAGATAGTCATTCACACACACGAGAGGAATTTAATTCACCGCACAGAGGTGACTAATGACCCTGAAATCCAAGGGCTTCCCAGGCAGAGTGTGCTGAGCACAGTGAGGGGCCCAGGCATGAGGATGATGGGAGTATTTGGGGGAAGATGACCCCGTTGGCCTCGGCCGTTCCCGTGATGCTGTTCTCAGCATGAAGAGCCTTGGGAGCAGGCAGCACTGGGGCTGGAGAGACAGGCAGGGGCAGCCAGGTGCATGGGTGGGGGGTGGCCTGGCCCTGGCTGGGGGAGTGGGGAGGAGAGCGATTGCCTGCCTCACCTTTGCTGGGGGCTGATGAGCTTTAGAGAACAGCCTCCTTCAGTCCTGATCCACCAGACAACCCTTGGAGGTCCTTCCCAGCTCTGCTCCTATCTGTGACCTGTGTGGTTGCTTCCTCCCTGTCCAGGTGATGGTGTGGATCCACGGAGGAGGTCTGGTGGTGGGCGGGGCATCAACCTATGACGGGCTGCCCCTCTCTGCCCATGAAAACGTGGTGGTGGTGATCATTCAGTACCGCCTGGGCATCTGGGGATTCTTCAGGTAAGATAATGGACCCCACACAGCACATGGGCCCTTGAAGTGAGGGTGGCAGGACCCAGCTCTGGGTCATGTCATGTCAGCTCCCCAGGAAGGCATCCAAATCCCTTTATAATTGGGCTCCACACACTGTCTCATTTCCCAACCACGCTGGTCCACCTGCTTCTGAGCTTTTGCATGTGCTGTTCCCTCTGCCTGGAATGCCTGTTCTACTTGACCAACTCCTATGCATCCCATAAGGCCCAACTGAAACATTCCCGCCTCTGAAATGCTCACCACCTTTTTGCCAGTGCTGCCACAGCACACGGCACACCTGGGGAATGACAGCAGCACAGCAGTTAGAGCGGCAGGTTCAACACCTCACCTCTCATGGGGAAGGAGGGAAGGGCAGACTTGGGCGGGAGCTCGGTGAATGCTTCAATGGTGATGGAACGTGTGGCTGGAGCTGGGAGGTGTCGGAGCATCTGATTCCAGAGGACAAGCCTCTCAGGATGAATGTCGGGGTCACTCGCCCTGTTTGCTTCCGCATTTGGCACGTGCATGAACCAAGGCTAGAATCTTCTCCATGGAGTCTCTGTGGAGACAGGAGCCAGGGTTCCTTAGGGCAGAGTTACTGGTAGGTTTTCTCAATGCACCGGCCCCAGGACCTTGGATCCTGCGAAGAATTGTGGACAGGAGGTGGGATAGACACTCATTGGAAATTCCTGTAGGGCTGGAGGAGGGCGATAGGGGACTCATGTACCAGCATGCAACGCCTTCATTCACATTCTTCATCTCTTTCACCCCCCGGCCCATTTCTCTGCTCCCCGTTACATTAAAACTGGTCCATCAGCTCTCCACGCCTTCCTCCTTCCAGTCTCTCCTCTCCCCACACCTGTCAGGTTTCTACTCAGACCACACCACCGCACTCTTCTGGTGGAGGAGGAGGTCTCCAGTGACCCACCAGCTCTGTGCCCATCCTTGGCAACATCCACATATGACCCCTCACACCTCTTTGAAATACTTCCTTCTCTTGGCTGCATGTTCTGCATTCACACTTTTGTTCACTGGACCCTGGGGCCTTTGCACGTGCTATCTCTGTCACCTGGAATTCCTTTCTTTGGATATTTGCAAGGTTCTTGTGCTCATTCATTCAGATCTCTACTCAGATGAGGCTGCCTCCGAGAGGCCTTCCCTAGACATCTGATCTGAAATAAGACCGCACTGCCCACCCCTGCCTTTTCCGTGACCCTGTTTATTTACCCTGAGAGCACCTTCGCTAACTGGTGTTATGTTCTTATATGAACCTGTTTATTTGTTGACGATCTGTAGTGTGAGCTCCGTGTAGTTAGAGATTTTGCCTATTTTGCTTCGGGCTCTTAGAACAGTGTTTGGCACATAGCAGATACTCAGTAAGTACATGGCAGGTGAATGAATGGAGAGCTAAACAAACAATGCTACACCTGTGAGTCTGGGCTGTGGAGGGCTCACCTAGAGCCCCCAGCCCAAGCTGTGGTCCTGGGAATCCTGCCATGATGACTCTACCTCCCCTTTCCCCATTCTCTTACCCACAGCACAGGGGATGAACACAGCCGGGGCAACTGGGGTCACTTAGACCAGCTGGCCGCGCTGCGCTGGGTCCAGGAGAACATTGCCAACTTTGGAGGGGACCCAGGCTCTGTGACCATCTTCGGAGCGTCTGCGGGAGCTGAAAGTGTCTCTGTTCTTGTAAGTGTTCCTGCCCCCGATGTGGGTACAGATGGGCTCCCTGGGAGACCTGCTAACCATTATTAACAAGACCTGGGTTCAAAGCTGGCCCTCTGCACAGAGGGAAATGATGGAAAGCTAATGACCCAACCCCCGCCTCAGGAGCTCAGGGCTCCGCTAGCATCCTGGGGCCATAATCATCTCCAGCCCCAGCCTGCAACACTCCTCCTGACTTGGTTGAGTTCCTAATCCCTTCTCCATGAGGACTCTCCTCACTTCTCCTGGGGAGCAGGGTGGGTATAAATTATGAGGAAGAGAAGGCAGCTGTGAGAGTTGGGCTGAGTGTCGCTGTGTGGCCTCAAGCCAGATCCACATGTCAGGAGGCCATGAGCACTCACTAAGAACAGGGTGTCTTGTGGTTTGTCCATGCCCACGAAGGAGGACAGCAGTCTCTGTGAACGCGGGAGGGAGCTGGGCTGGGGGAAGCAAGTGAGATGGGGGAGGGGAGGGGAGGGGGGTGTAGGGGTTGGGATGGGACAGGGGACACAGACACACCTGGGAGCCTGGTGTGGGAGATGGGGCCGGAGAGGACATGGAGAGAATCAAAGACGGAGAACCAGATGAGAAGGCGCTGGGAGCTGCCAGAACCCCTCCATCTGCCTCAGAGCTGAGCAGAGTGTCTGTGCTGCTACCATATTTTAAAACACGTTTGCTTTCATAGTTAAATACTCAGAGGAAGCTTTTATATTTTGTGAAGTGGAGAAAAGGAGAGGTACAGATACGCCCAAAGAAGAAAGGAAGTGGACCTACAATGTTATTACCCAGGGATTGTCACCATGGACATGTTGACACTTACTTTTCTAGTCTTTTTCTGATGAATCACCCTATCATCCATCTATGTATCTATCTATCTATCTATCTATCTATCTATCATGTATCTATGATTTTTTAAATAAAAAACATCCTTAACATTACAATCTAACAGAAATATTTTCCTAACCATGAAGTACCCTCCCATAATTTTATTTTTATAGTATTCCATGGTAAGAACTAAAAAGGAGCTTATTTACTCAATGCCATCCCACTTTCCCCATCATGAGCAGCACGGGCACCCCTAGACGTCATCATGTGCCTCCAGGATCACCTTGCTTAGGGTGAGTTCTTAGGAATGGAAATGTAGACTCAGAACTCTGTCTTGAAAGTGTTACCAGGAATTGCCAAACTGTCTTTCAGATCTTTTGATGGTTACAGTCGGCACTTGCCACATTCTTCCTGTTGTGTTCCTCGCTCTGTGCCCTGGGCTCTTACCAGCTGAGGTTTTCTTACAGAAACAGGGCCACAGGGTCAGCTTGCGGAACAGTCCAGGCGGGCCCTGTTATGTCCACTGAGCCCAGGGGAATGGGCCAGGATGGAGCTAGGGAAGCTCTTGAAGTCCCCTCACAGACTTAGCTCCTTTGTTAGACCCTGAGCTCTGTGCCGCTGCCCACAGGCACACAGGTGTGTGGTGCTGGCCGTGCTCAGACGAGCTGAGAGAAGGAAGTGGATGTGAGCGGGGAGGGCAGCATGAACACTGTTATGTCCTCTTCCCAGAGCCAGCCCTTAATGTGTTCTGTGGTTGATGGAATGCTGCTGCCTAAGATGCCGGAGGAGCTTCTGGCTGAAAAGCAGCTCAACACCGTTCCATACATTGTCGGAATCAACCACCAAGAATTCGGATGGATTCTTCCAATGGTGAGCCTGTGTGGGCATTGAGACTCGCCTTTGTGCCCATCCCACCACCCTGCCATCTCTGTTCGCAGGATCTCTTCCTTCTCCCGACCTCCCCGCTCCCCCTTCACTTCTGGGTCCAGGGCAGCTGTTCCCTCTGCATGAGTTGACATTTCCATGGAAACCTTCCCTGGGATGGCCCAACAGACACCTGGGTGGTGAAGCTCTGGGGCCCCCACTACCAAACTCTGATTGTCTCCAGTCTATGAACCTTGGAATGTCAGTGCCGGTAGAGAGAATTATTGTGCATATGGAGAAACTGAGCCCTGGGAAGGAGGGGAGCTCAGGAGTAAGGCCTGGGGCCCTGCAGCCTCTCTCCTTGGGCTCGATTCTTTCCAGTTTCTCCATAAATCCCCAGGCAAGCTCTTTGTCATACAATTAGAAAGAGTCAGAGGAGCTTCCTTCCTCTTGAGGTAAAATTGACTTCTAAATGTTAGGAAGGGCTTTCCCTTCAGTCAAAGATAAAGCCAGATACTAGTGGAGGTGGTAGCAACAGATTTCATTCCGTTATATTACTGCAACAGGGGTAAGATCCAGTGTGAACTCCGCTAAAAACCCTGAGGCTCAAGGCTGGAGCCCTGTAAAGGCTGCTGTGCAGAGGGGTTGGGAAGGTGGCCATGAGACCAGGCCCCTGGATTTGTGAAGTGGCACTGATCTGGAGGAGAAGCACACCTCTCCTGTGTGTATGTCAGCAGGAAGGGGTGTCAGTTGCAGCGAGGTGCCCACTGAAGTTAGGGACCGGGAGAGAGAGCAGAGTTATCCTCTGCATGTCTGCATTTTGGAGGAACAGCTCCCAGGTCCTTGAGCGACAGCTTGGGTGGTAGATGTACAGCTCTAAGGGCAGAGACAGGCTTTGGCTGGAGCAGACAGTGCCTTCTCCTGGCCGCACAGAGCCTTCTCAGGGGGCTGGGATCAGTCACCCAGGGACCCAGCCTATGGTGCTGGGAGCAGTGTTAAGAGTTTGGTCAAGGCTCTTAGAGCGGATGTTTGGATGGGATGGTTATGTGCAGAGCTGTTGTGCACTTCTCACCTGAGCCCGGTTTCAAAGATTATGATGAAGTAACGAAGCCATGATGACAGGATGGGGGATTCATGGGTCATCTTAGATGCGCAGGGTATTTGTGAGGTCTGTGTCATCCCCCAGGGCTCTGTCCTTCAACACTAGCTTGCATTACATTGCAGAGGCCTAAATCGGCTTCTTTTAACATTTACTTCATCTTCTTCACTCTCCTTGAGTTTCTGGATACAAGTCCCTTTCATTCATTGGTTTTGCCCAGTTCATCAGAGACCTTGCCCGTAAAGACCTGACAAGCTGTCTCCCAGCCTGCATTGGTTTGGTTGTTTGGTCAGATTGGTTCTTCCCGTTAGTTCCCAAATGAGTCACGACTGCTAACCTGTGTTTTAACAGACGATAGGTTACCCAATCTCTGAAGGCAAGCTGGACCAGAAGACGGCCTCATCACTCTTATGGCAGTCCTTCTCCTTCACTGTAAGTGTCTAGGGAATTCCCGGGATGGGCTGAGACCCGGAGGGACCGGGGATTGCCCCAGGTCACTGAGCACTTAAATGGCAGAATGTAGACTGGGGCCAGAGTGTTTTCTTCCCACTTTTGGCCTTTCCTACATTCCCACTGGGGGAGGGTGGGTTGCCACTGGGGGAGGGAGGGGTTGCACAGCCGTGCTCACTGGCGGGAGAAGCCAGCTGTGTCGCCGAACCGGGGTGGCAGCCCCTTTCACTCTTGGTTCCTTTTCAGAACATCCCTGAGGCACTGATCCCAGCGGTCATTGAGAAGTATTTAGGAGGGACAGACGACCCTGTCAAAAAGAAAGACCGGTTCTTGGATTTGCTGGGAGATGTGGTATTTGGTGTCCCAGCTGTGACTGTGGCACGTGGCCACAGAGGTAAGTCCCAGAGACTGGACAGGAAGGGACACCAACCCCACCCACTTCGCTGTCTCTCCTGCCCACCCCTCAGCATAGACAGGTCTCTGAGGCTGGTTCCATGTGGCCTGGGGTGGGTCGCTGTCCTGTTTTGGTTTCTGCCAGAAGTGGACTCTGAGAAAAGGATCCAAATGCTGCTAGTTTATTTGGAGGTGACCCCAGGGACACCAGGAGAGGAGTGGAGAAGTGGCGTGGGAAGGAGGGGGAGCCAGGCTTGCTGCACGGTCCAGCACGTGTGCCCCGTGGGCACCTGGAGCCGGGGCCCTGGGGAGCAGCAGAAGACATGTCTCAGGGTCATCCTGAGTGACGAGGGAACTGGGGTACTTAGCCTCCAACTGCATCAGTTGTTGGTTAAAGGCTGTTCCCAAGGGGTGGCTCCTTCCCTAGGGCTCTGGCCTGCTGTACTTAGGGGCAGAGTGGACTCTGCTGGCTGAAGACCTCAGGCCAAGAGCTGCAGACGCTGGAGGTGAAGCCAGGCTGGCAAGCCCAGAAGTAGGGATACGGCGAGGCACCAACAGCATCTGCCACAGGCGCTCCTCACCTGGAATGATGGGGTCTGTGGGGCTGGATGGCTAATCTTGGAGATGTGTCTTGGAAGATTTCCAAGGTCAAATCCAGTGGAGCCGGGGGAGGAGTGAAACCAAGCATAGGATCAGGAGTGTTGTCTGTAACCAGCAAAGCCCAAAGGGGTGAGCAGTGGCAGGTGTGGGGGCAGGTGTTCTGGAGAATTCCATGTCTGTGGTCAGCTCTTGTCCATCCCTGTGTGTGTTAGGTCTATCACGGGAATTATGGCATTGACCCAGAGCTGTGTGGGTGGGGTGTGAGGTCACCTAGCGAGGAGGTGTTCCTTCTGGGTCCTTCCTTTTCTAGGGTCCCTCTTCACCTAGTCTGCATTCCAGGAGACTTTGCAGAATCTCAGTTGTCCATGATGCGGATCCCTCACGTGCGGGACACTGTCCAGCACATCGCAGGCACTCACGTGGGCAGCTGCTGTTCACGTTGTTGTTTTGTGCTCAGGACCCAGGCATGCCACTAATTCCCTGGGTGCTCAGGGCCTCCGGAGGCCTAGACACCATGCAGGTGTGGAACGGGTAAAATGAACGTGCGTCAATCATGTCTTCTCAGATGCCGGCGCCCCCACCTACATGTATGAGTTTCGGTATCGCCCAAGCTTCTTGGCAGACACGAGGCCCAAGACGGTGATAGGGGACCACGGGGATGAAATCTTCTCAGTCTTCGGGGCTCCATTTTTGAAAGGTGATGGCCCTTGGAGGTAGGGGGTCTGGGGTCAGGGCTCGGTTTGGTGGCCTTGGGCAGGTTTCTCCTTTTCTCTGAGACTTCATTTCCCGAATTCACCGTGACAGGTTGAACGACAAAGGTCCCCTCTCTCTTGCTCTGCCGTGCACAATGGGCATCAGTAAGACAGGGCCTGCTCACGGGCTAGAATGTCCCCAGTCAGGTCCCACTCACAAGGGTCTATCAGAGTGTCAGAGTAAGGCTAGAATTGGTGTTAACCTTTCTCTAAAAGATCATATTCCTAAATGTCTTTAATACCTTAACTATCAGCAGGGATGGACGACTTGCGTGTAACCCACCTCAGGCCTGTTTGGGACACAGCAGTGCCATATCCTGACTGGATGACTTCTTAGGGTCATTGCACTTCTGTTATTTTTCAGAACCAATGAAAATGTGAGCGGTGGCTGAGATTGAAAATACACCCTAGAAGGACAATCCTGGGTGGCGGGTGGCTGTTGGGGATCCCTTTCAACTCTGAAGAGGGAGGGTGGGATGGGTGGGCGGGCAGAGAACACCAAGGTCTATGTGTTGACTGCAGCCCTGGGCTGAGTCCTCCATCAGTACCTAGCCAGTTTCAAGTGCACACAGAGGACCCAGTGTCCTCTTAAAACACAGCTTTCACCTCTGTGGGTCTGGAGTCGGGGCTCAGATTCTGAATTTCCAACAAGCACTCAAGTGGTGTGGCTGCTGCCGGCCCACGACCACACGTGGAGTAGCAAAGACTTCTCCTCTTCTTCCCTCCAGATGGCGCCTCTGAAGAGGAGATCAAACTCAGCAAGATGATGATGAAATTCTGGGCCAACTTCGCTCGGAATGGGTGAGCAGCCAGAGCAGGGCTGGGGAGGGGCAGGGCGTATCTGTTGGGAGGGGTAGCTTCTGACACTGATGGTCAAACTCCTGGCCCTGAGACCTGTGACATGAGAGCTCTCAAAGGGACTGGCTTCCCAGGAGATGGGGAGGTCCCTGCCTATGGGGGCATCTGAGTCTTTTGGGAGAGATGAAGCTGGGGGTTGGTGTCCCTACAAATCTCTGTGAGTTGTTGGGACCACACAGTAGCGTTGGGGCTTTTCTATTTGATGTTTTTTCTGTTTCCAGGAACCCCAACGGGGAGGGGCTGCCCCATTGGCCCGTGTATGACCAGAAGGAAGGGTACCTGCAGATTGGCGTCCCCACCCAGGCAGCCCAGAAGCTGAAAGATGAGGAAGTGGCGTTCTTCACCAAGCTCCTTGCCCAGGACACAGCCAGGACGTCACCCCAAACAGAGCATATTGAGCTGTGAAGGGGAGGCCCATCCAGCCTCCACGATCTGGGGGAGCTTAGGGGTAATTCTACAGAAGGTGGTTATGGCCAAAAAGGTACCTTAGTGTCTGGTGGGAGTGGGCAGAGACCACAGAGGGGGAGCTGCTACACCTGTAGCCTGAATTTTGGAAATAATGTTCTTTCGGTGACCAAATCAGTGTCTGTATCTTGGGTTGAAGTCTACCCCATCCTCCTGGGGGATGGTTGGGACAGTCACACTATCACTCATCAGGGGCTTCTCTGCTCTGCTCCATGGAGAAAGCCCTCAGGCAGAGTCACAGGTGCCCCTTGAGAAAAGCCAGGAGTGTGTGTGTGTGTGAAGTGGAGGTGTGGGGGGGCAGTGAGCATAGAGGGGACATGAGCCAAGCATTGGCAGTATCTCCTACCGAACTCAAGCTAGAAGAGCAGCAAGGTGGCCACTTGACCACCTCTACATGTGGACACAGGGAGGCCCAGAGAGGGCAAGAACCTGGCTCCCAGTCACCCAGAGTCATTGTCTCAACTACTGGAGCCGAACTGAGGCCTCCTTCCCCTAAGATGGGGTTCTTTCTACCGCATTGCCTGGCCATCCCCAGATGGACCCCCTCCGTGCAGGAAGGGCACTGTCCTCTTGACCACACTCTACCACCTGTCCCTCTGCACCTGCCTACAGCTGCTTTCCACGCTCCCCAAGCTCCAGGGATTGAAACCAGTTATTTCAGACATACATTGCCCCTCATTCCGGGAGCCGGGAGAGGCCCGAGGCTTTGAGCAGAGGCATGGAGAGGGGATGCCCTTCGAAGACCCTCAATTTGGTGGTAGCCATCACACACAGCCACCAGTGACAGATCCAACCTGTCCACAGCCCATGTCTCCTCTCCGTCTTCTGACAAGCCAGGAGCAGGGAGGTGGTTATTTTGTTAGTCCTCATCCGAGGATATTTTTCCATTGATTTTTTTTTGAGAGAATGGAAGTTAGAGGGGAGAGAGAGAAACACTGATGTGAAAGTGACATATCAATTGGTTGCCTCCCACACATGCCCTGACCAGGTCCGGGGATCAAGCCTGTAACAGAGGTACGTGCCTTTGACGGGAATCAAACCCGGGACCCTCAGTCCATGGGCCCATGCTCTATCCACGGAGCCAAACTGCCTAGGGCAGGGAGGGTGGTTATCTTCATGAGAAGGGGTTCAATGGGAGGAATGCCCTCCCCAAGGTCACACAGCTGGCACAGCTTTGACCCGCAGGAACTGGAGTCTGTTTTCAGACCCTGGTGGCTGTAGCAATTCAGTCCTTGTGGCTGCCAGCTCACCTGTGCTCACCTGTACACTGGCACCAGGAATGGGAAGGAAGGTATGTTAGCCAGTGACCAGAGGCTTGGCTCTTACACCATGGGCTTCTCAGGGTCAGGACCAAGGTCAGATTCACTTTCATGGTCCCCCAGCAAGTGATTGGGAGTGGGACTAGGTGGATGGACTGATAGATGGCCGGTCGGTGGCTCATCACAAGGTGGAGGTGACGGCAGCCTTCGGTAATCTGGTGATTATACCTTTAAATGCTGTAATAATATAGTAACTGAGATTGTGTCTTCATAATAAATTTTCATATTAATTCAAAGAATCTTCAGAGCAACCCGAGGCCCAAGAAAATTCAACTAGTGACAGATAAGACCAGCTACATAATTTGTTGTGCAAAAGTAAAACCACCAAAAAACACCCTTATTGTAAAAAATATTAAGATGGTGACAAGCAATGGAGGAGCCTCTCTGAGTGAGAGGGTCCCTGTGTGCCTGCTGGGTGTCACGCCTGTGAAGCTGGGGCCCGGGAGAGAGACCTGAGACATGAGCCTGGGCAGTCTGGCTCCAGAGCCTGAGTCCTTAAGTGCGAAGCTATCCTTTCTTCCCACACTGGGCATGGGTTCAAAATCCTTATCTGGGCGTGTCTCTAAAGTCAAGGCCAGAGGCACCCATGTGGCTGAGGGTGATTCTCTGCTGCCCTCGTGTGTTCAGCATCCATATAGCCACACCTGCTTCAGGGGTGGAGCCAGGACCGTAACCCCAGACCAAGACTCCCAGCAAAGTGCCCAGATAGCAGGGACTGCCTGTTAGGGCTAGGGCTGGGGTTAGAGTTAGGGCTAGGGTGAGGGCACAAAGTTAGGGTTAGGGCTAGTGCTAGGGTTAGGGCTAGGGTTATATTTAATGTTAGGGCTAGGGCTAGTGTTTCGGTTAGATTTGTGTGTTAGGGTCATGGGTCAGAGAGTAAAGCTCATAGATCAAAGTTCAGAAGTCAAAGGTCAAATTTCAAGGTGAGTGTAAACATTAAAGGTATAAGGTCATTGGTCAAAGGCTCAATGTCAAAGGGTCAGAAGTAAAAGGTTGGGGTCAAAGGTCACGGGTTGATGGAAATGGGTCAAAGGTCAGAGTTCAGAAGTCAATGGTTAAGGTCAGAAGTAAAAGGCTAGGGTTAGGGTTATGGTTTAGTTTTTAGGTCTAGGGCTCCAGCTTGGGCTAGGGCTCAGGCTAGGTTTAGGGTTTAGTGGTTTGGGGTTGGGTTAGGGCTAGGTTTTCTGTTTGGTTTGTATGGAGTCAAAGGTCAAGGGTTGGAGGTCAAAGATAAAGTGTCAGAAGTCTATGTAAATGGGTCGGGTGTCAGAGGTCAAAGGTCAAGTCAAGTGCCCAAAATGTCAGATGTCAAAGGTCAAATATCAGGCCAAGTGGGCAAAAGGTTATTGTTTAATGGTCAAGGGTCAGAAGACAAGAGCCAAAGGTCAGAGGTCAAAAGGACGAGAGCCAAATGTCAAAGGTCAGTTGTCAAGGGTCAAAGGTCAAAGGTTCATGAGAAATACTGGCCTGTAATTTTCTCTCTTTGTGGTGTCTTTATCTGGTTTTGGGATTAGGGTGATGCTGGCTTTGTAGAAAGAGCTTGGAAGTGCTCCTTCCTCTTGAATTTTTTGGAATAGTCTGAGGAGGATAGGTTTTATTTCTTCTTTGAATGTTTGGTAAAACTCCCCTGTGAAGCCATCTGGTCCTGGGCTTTTGTTCGTTGGAAGATTTTTGATTATTGCTTCAATTCCTCCATAGTTATCGGCCTAATTTAGATTTTTTTATTCCTCCTGGTTGAGTTTTGGAAGGTTGTATTTTTTTAGGAATTTGTCCATTTCTTCTAGGTTGACCAGTTTGTTGGAGTAAAATTGCTCATAGTATTTTTTTTTAATGATTTTTTTGTATTTCTGTGGGGTCTATTGTTATTTCACCTCTTTCTTTTCTGATTTTATTTGGGTCCTCTCTCTTTGCTTCTTGGTGAGTCTGGCTAGAGGTTCATCAATCTTGTTTATCCTTTTAAAGAACCAGCTCTTGGCTTCATTGATCTTTTGATTTGATTTTTTGTTGTTTTTTGGTCTCTATGTCACTTATTTCCTTCCTCCTGCTCACTCTGGGTTTTTCTTGTTGCTCTCTTTCTAATTCTTCAAGTTGCCCAGCCTTGTTCAAAGGGAGGTTGGGGGCACCCCAGTCTCACAGCCAAGGATCCCCAGGACTGAGACCTGAGGAACATCAGTCAGCACCTTGGACGAGGCGAACACACCCATCGGCCTTTAATTAGCAAACATGTGGACTTCTCCGCTGCCATGAATCACAGAGGCTTGTCTCTGGCCAGCCCCCAGCTGGTACAGAAGAGCCTCTGGTCACAGTGGCCCACCTTTCACCCAAGTAACTTCTTACAGCCCTTGGAGCGAGAGACCGAAGGGGCTTAGACCTCTCCTCCTCGCTCTGAGATGGGCACATTTATATTTAAATGGAAAGTGCAGACCAAGTGACACCAGCTTAGTTATCTAGTTTTGCTTTTTCCGTTTCTAGGGCTGAATTTTTCTTTTAAAAACATCGATTTTTCTCTCTCTTCCTCTCAAAATCAATTTTAAAAATCTTTTTTTAAAAGAAAAATTCAGCAATTCATAGCATTTTACACTCATGGCAGAAAGAACGCCACTAGCAGATCCATGGCACAGGAATATCCTTTATTATCTATACAGTTGTTTTTCCATGAAGAGAACAGCTTGTGAAATAAACCCACACCAGACATAGAAATCTGCATGACGTCGGAACAGTCCATGACACAGAGAGGGCACCACTGAGACTGTCCTTATTTACACGGAAGTGGAGAAACAGAGGGGCGAGAGCGGGCACCCCGAGAGCACGTTCAAGGGCACCCGTAGTTTGGTCACGTCTCGATTGTGGCCGTAGCCACAGACCTGTGGATCCCGGGACTCACAGACCTATGGATCCCGGGACTCACGGCCACGGGTTTCCTTCAAAGTCCTCAAAACAAAAGGGTTGGATTTTATTTTTCAAATACCAAATGTTTCTGGCATCAGGCGAAGAAATACGGGAGAAAGTACTGAATGTCTAAAAAAAAAATCAAGGAAAATTCTGGAGGCCAGATGTCTGACCTTTCTCTGCTCCACAGGTTATTAAGTCACCAGATCATCCTGGAAAGTTCTATCGTAAGCGACGGGCTTCTTTCGTTGTAAATTGAGCACAAGAACGTTGTCAGGGAGGCATGAAACTTTCTACACTGGATGGGACCTTTGATTATCTGATCCAAACCTGCTTTTATGGGCAAAGAACTTAAAATGCACCCCCTCTCCCAGGAACCCAGCTGGTCAGCTGCAACTCTCAATGCTGTGCCGTTTCGCCACCCCACACTCCCTCTGTTCTTCTCCATCCCAGGGCTTTCAAAGGAAATAAACAAATGAAATGAGCTCGAGGGGGCCTCTTGGCTAAGAAATGACTTCTTTGGTAAGAATGCTTCAGCCTCGCGTTACCAGGGCTGCAAAATGGATCCTCCCGCCCGGGCAGGAACCCCCTCTGAGAATTAAGGCAGCTTTGGGGATGTCGATCCAGCAGGATATTTGGCACGAGCGGGCCACTCCCGTCTCCTCGGCATCTGGAACGAAGGCCAGCTGACAGGTGGACGCCAAGTATCTGGACGTTGTGAGGAGATGTTACCACGATGCCCTTAAACAGATATTGTACATTTCGTGGAAAATAATTCTTTAAACGTCTTGTAAAGTATCAAGTGTCATGTACAATACACAGGAGCACCCTTATCCCGGGTAACCTCTGCTATCAAAAAAAGGGGGGGGGGAGCATGAAGAAGTCAAGCCTTATGAGAAAGCACATTACGCGGGGGTGGACGATGAATCGAGGTCTCCCCACGCCTCCCCGAGAACTTCCAAGGGCTTCCGGATGCCTCTGCTGCCCCACCCCAGGCTTGGGAGCCAGCTTCCGCAGCGAGGCAGCACCGTGGCGTGGGTTAAGCTAGCACCGCATCCCCGATTCGCCTGGGGGACACGCCTGGAGGCAGAGGGGCCACAGGCAGAGGCGGCGGGAAAGCTGCGGGCGCTCTCCCTCCAGGCACCCTGTTCGGACACGTGGCTTCCCTGACCCTTCATTTCAGCCAAGCAGACTCCGCTCTCTCACCCACTGCCCCAGAGCTGCTCTTGTCACCAAAAGACAGCAGCCACGTCGTCCCTTCCTCCCCGGCCACCCGCTCGAGGGGAAGAAATGGCATCGCTCTCCTCCCCCCTTCTCCCAACACCCTGTCCTTTGCTCAGAAACCCTCCTTGGCCCCCTGACCGCATTTCTGTCCGCCTGTGAGGACAGCCTAGGGTGGGTGAGCCCCACGGGGCAGGGAATGTCCAAGGGCCCTGGGCTGAGGGGCAGGGCATCTGACTCGCGGGTCCGCCTTCGTAGCTGAGAATCTGAAACGCCGGGCCACGGTTTTCTCACCTGGGAAATGGGGAGACAGAAGCCAGCCCTGCAGTCCTCGTGGGGCGGATGGGAGGCGATGTGGGTGAAAGTGTGTTTGCAAAAATCACTGTAACAGCCAGGGAGCAATGGCCCTTCCTGGGGGGATTCGAAGTCACTCGTGGCCCCGTCAGTGACGGGCCACCCTGCTCTCGTCCCCCAGGCCTCCACCTACTGTCCACTCCGATGGATGCTCCCAGCCTCCCCCACCTCCCCTTGCCATTGGGCTGCCTGACACTGAGCTGGAGTTTCTATATGGAAAGATCGAAAGTCTCCCGACTTCCCTCTTATCTCTAAAGCAGGGGTGGGGAACCTCCGGCCCACGGGCCATGTCATTTGGTCTGGCCCTGCCAAGGCAACCTCAGGCAGGACTAAATCTGGGGACTTTTTCACTGCGACATCATGTTTAAACTGGTAATGTTGCGTGGCCCACGGATGATGTAAATATCCAAATGGCCCTTGGCAGAAAAAGGCCCCCTCCCCCCAAAGAATGCCCCGACGACCCTGGCTCCGCGGAAAACCATCTCCCTGCCCCCAGCTGGCTCCCATAGAACCTTCTTCCACAGTCAGCACGATCCGGCTCGCGACACCCTCCCTAGGTTTGTGAAGTAAAGTGGCCTCTTTTTTCTCCCCAAGACTCTGCCACAGGGGCTCCCAGCGCCAGAGTAACAACCCGCCAGTCTAGAGTTCCAACACGGGTGCAAGAGACTCAACCCAGAAGCAGAAGCCCCACATCGGGCGAGGCCAGTGGAACCCATCATTTCTCCCAACGAGCTGGAACTGACCACCCTCGCCACCAGAGGGCGCCACTTGCGGGTCACTATGGAAGCCAACCCGGAAATTCCAACCTGCTCCACCCACCCAGAATCCGGTCCCCTTAACCAGGTAGCTGTGTCCGGGCCCACCCTGCCCTCCATGTACCAAGTGTCGTCCATAGTGAGAGACAAAGGGAGTTTTCAGGGACCACCCCCCCATCCGTGGAGATCCGTGGTCCACGCTGGGTGGGGTTTCCAGGGAACAATACGTCAACAGACACCCTCGGGCGCCACCTGGCCTGGGAGGACAACAGAAGGTCCGTAGTAGGGACACCTGTCTGGCCTCACTGGGTTCCTGACTCAAGTCTCCCCAAGGTCCCAGGAGCCCCGGGTGGGTTTCTGGGGCCCCTGTGCCCAGCAGAGCGAGGCCTCATGTGGCCTCTAGGGGGCCTGCCTGTCACCTCTGTGGAGGCTGCTCCCTGGGGCTCATCTGTGTTCTTCCCGTGACAGCCATGGCTCTGGACCAGCTGACCGCCAGGGGCCGGAAGGATGTTCCAGATGGCGCCTGTCAGACCCAGATTAGCCAGAGTGAAAACCCACGGTGAGGTTTCTGTCTGAGGTCCCCAAAGCATCTCTCCACGGACCTTCATGACGGGACAGACACACGCGAGCTCCCTGACCGCGGGTCAGACACCAGAGGGCGGCTGGGGTGGGGGTGGGGGGCAGGAGACGGAGGGTCTGTGTGGCCACCCCTAATGCAGCAGGCGTCTTGGTCGGGTTTGGGGGGGTGGCTGACCCCCTCAACTGGGTGGACCAAGGTTTCTTCTTGGCCCAAAGGACAAGCAGACGTGGTGGGGAATTCGGCCCGAGGCGTGGGCTCTGCTGGGCCGGCTGGCTCTCTGATTGAGTGCGACGTCCCCCCAACCCAAGGGGTTCCACAGAAGTCGTTGTTCCTGATCCCACCTCTCCTCTTCTCCCCGAGGCTCACCAGTCCACGCTCACAGCCCCGGGGCCCGACGAACAGAAGGCGAAGGAAAACCGGGTCACAAAATCATGGGTCACGGGGACGGGAGGAAGGGGGGCGGGGGAGCATCTGCCGGGAGAGGGATCCCGGACAGCAGACAGCGTCTGGGTGGCAGCGAAGCGGGCGCCTGGACCTGGACGTTGGCGGGCGGGGCTCCCCCTCCTCCTGGGGCCGGGCTCAGATGGCCAGCCAGTGCTGCAGCTGCGGAAAGACCGGGCCTCAGTGTCTGTCCGGGGCGGGCGGGGGTGGGGGGAGCACCCAGGGCCAGCTGGGGAGCAGCACAGGGGAAGCAGGAACCACCCCTTCCCTCCAGGACCCCGAGGACATGCAGGCTGATCCCCTCATGGCCACCAACACCCCGAAAGGGCAAAGGCACCGTCCCCAAGTCACACAGCGTGTCTGCAGCAGGGAGCTCACCGGGACCCGCCCCAGCCCCTGGCAGGCACGTTTCTGAGGGGGCAAAGGTAGGACTCAGGCCACCCCGTCACTGATGTGCTCACAGCACTTCCTTCAACATAAGACGCCCTCAGCTAGCTTGGTGACTCTCCCGGGGGACAACTCAGTGCAGGCAGAGCTCAGCAGAGCTGTGGCCGGTGCAGGCCAGGACCCAGATGCAGAGGCCAGCGGACGCCAGCAGGGGCAGGGGACAGCCCCACCCCGACCGAACGCCAGGCCCCCGGGAGCCATGGCCCGCTGCTGCTGTGGGACTCTGGCGTGGGGCGTGGGATCCTGCCCAGGGCAACCAGCACACAGCGGCCCCCCCACGAGCGGTCCGGCTGCACCCACCTGGAACTGCCTGACGTCCCTCTGGGCCACCAGGTGACGCTCGTTCTCCGGCGTGAGGCCATAGGCCAGTCTCTGGGAGAGGTTGGAGAAGGGGGAGGCCTCAGCTAGGCCCAGGACACCCTCCCCGGGGCCCAGCGTCCCCCCTTTCACCTCCAGATAAGGGCCACCTGCTACTTGGCCCTAAAGTCCCACAGGAATGGTGGCCGGGAACATGAGTAGAATGTTGGCCCTGTGCCGGGCCCTGTGCTAAGCACTCTCTCTTCCTTCAAGATCATTGTCCCCAGGTTGCCAGTGTGGAAATGGAGGTTCAAGGGGATACCCAACTGGCCAGTGTGAGGGTCCATCTGACCCTAGTCTCCCCTCTCACCCCCACAGGAATGACTCCATGCCCCTCCCATGCTGTCCCCCGCGCCCCGCCCCCCCCCTTCGGGCCCCAGCTCACCTCCCAGAGGGAGCCCCGGGTGCTCAGGAACTTGTAGACGATGTAGGCGGGCACCAGGATCATGGAGGACAGTGCGACGCCCCACCCGACCCAGTTGGCCCAGAGTGGGAAGATGTAATCATCGTAGGTGAGTGGCTTGAAGTTGATGATGCTCACCACCACCACAAACTGGGGAGGGGGGGTGGGGAGAGCAGGAGAGAGGGAGGGAGGGGACGAGTGGAGAAATGGGAGGGAGGAGTGTGAGAAAGAAAGGTCACCTTGAAGCTGGGCCGGGCTGGGCACACAGCCACCGGGGGCCCTGGCCCAGGCTGGAGACCCGCGGGGGTGGGCGTCCCCATGGTGTCAGCAGCCTGAGTGTCCCCATGTCCTGCCCGCGGAGCAGGGCTCTGTATCCCAGAACCGCCTCCCCCAAGAACCCAGGATGCCCCCCACCCCCACCCCACCCCCACACGGCACCCTCCCCAGGACGCGAGCCCCCAAACTACACACCAGGAGGAAGGCAGGGCTCACAAACTTCCAGCACAGCCTCCAGTACAGGCCGGGCTTGAACCCCATCATCTGCTGGATGTCGTTGCTGAACCTGTCCACCCCTGCGCACACACGGACAGGCCTGTCACCGCGGCCACCCCTGCTGCCCAGCCCCAGGGCCCCGCCCCAGGGCAGCGAGGCCACCCCTGGCACTTACTCCTGGGGACGGGCGCCCTGCTGGCCAGAACAAGGGAGAGGACACCCTCACGGAGAGTGTCACCCATGTGCCCTCCGATTCATTTTCCAGAGGCAGACAGGACCCGGGAGGGGCAGGCACATGCCCCAGGCCACACCCCAGGTCAGCCTGACTCTGAAGCCTGGGCTTCCCCTCTTGTGCACACTCTTAAACACGAGACTTCCCTGAGTTCAGTCTGGTGGAGGGGCCCAGGTTCACACCGAAATCTCTCTCCGATTCGTAGGAAAGACTGCGAGCAGGACTAACCCTGGGATGGGCCACGCGGGGAAGGAACGGTGCCGACATGTGGGCACTCGGTAACGCCTCTCCCGTCCCCGGCAGAGTCGGGCGCCAGCTGCAGCACAGGCCCCACGTCTGAATCTCAGACGGTGGACACGGCCTCGGCTGACGGTGATGGCGAACCTATGACACGCGTGCCAGAGGTGACACGCGAACTCATTTTTTTGGTTGATTTTTCTTTGTTAAATGGCATTTAAATGTATAAAATAAATATCAAAAATATAAGTCTGTTTTGCTATGGTTGCAAATATCAAAAAATTTCTATATGTGACACGGCACCAGAGTTAAGTTAGGGTTTTTCAAAATGCTGACGTGCCGAGCTCAAAAGGTTCACCATCACTGGTCTAGGACATACACTGGCACAATCACAGAGCTTTGATCTGAAACTCAAGTCTAACTGGGCCCCTTGCCTTCACTTTGCTGGATCTGACAGCCCTGCTCTAGAATGAGTTACCTGTGTAGCAGCCGCTTCCTCCAGTTCCCCTTGACTTATTTTTATTTTTAAATATTTTTTATTGATTTTTTTTTTGTGTGTGTGTGAGAGTAAAACATTGATTGGCTGCCCTGCACGCTCCCTCCCAGAGATAGAGCCACCAACCCGGGCACGTGCCCTGGCCGGGAACGGAACAGTGACCTCTCAGGGCATGGATGAGGCTCAGCTAGCGGAGCCACACGCCCCCCCCCGGAGCTCCTCTTTCAAAGTGGACACTGGATGCCTTTGGGCCTTTGCAGCACCTGCTGAAGGGGGTTCATGCAAAGATGAGCCACTGGCCAGGGGCCGCCATGGCAACGGAAGGCCCTCTGCGCCCGGGCGAGAAGTCTGCAGGAGCGCGGGGCCCAGCACGCACCGTAAAACCAGGAGACGCCGATGGCCTCCATGAGCACGGCGAACAGAATGGAGGTGCCCGCCGCGAACGTGTCCAGCAGCGTCAGCACGTAGATTCCGCCCTGGGCAGGGAGGGACGACGCCTGAGGCCACGGCTGGCAGTGGCCACCGACGGTTACGTCCATCACCACACACCCGGCCCCGGCCCCGGCCCCTGCCCCTCGCGCTCAGAGCCCAGTGTGAGGACGCGGGGGACAGGGCTGGGTGCCACTGTGCTGATGTTACGTATCTGCGTCCCGACAAAGGCCCTCGGAGTCACGGGCCTGAGGGTGGGTGTTTCAGCCAGAAAAAGCGAGTTGGGTGTCAAGGGACTTTCGCTGCTCTCACACCAGGGGTGCCTGGAGGTCCTCAGGCTCAGGGGTGGGAGACGACAGAGGGGGGTGTCACCCTAGGGGTCGGGCCACGGGGTTGAGGGTGCCTGGCCCCGCCCTGAGCTCACCTGGCCCCACCCAGGAGGCTGGAAATGTCTGACCGCAGGGAAAAGCAGCACCCGCGCTCCAGGCGACCCAGCGCAGCCCCGCTCACCTTGGTTATGCAAAACAGGGCCAGGAGGAAGGTCCCGAAGGTGACGCCGAATGTGAAGAGCTTCCGGTGTCGCTTCAGGACATGGAAGTCGTCGGCCAGGCCCGTGATGACGGCCTCCATGCCTCCCATCTGCAGGGAGCCCGGCAGGGTGGGCGCGGGAACGAGGGACACCCTGGGGCCTCCCGCGGTCTCCCACCGACTGCCTGGCCACTCTGGGGAAATCGGCAGGCACTGCCCTCTCCCCAGCCTCTCACCCACTCTGCCCCCTTCCCAACCAAACTCAGGGCTCAGACACGACGGGGGTGGTGGTGCAGAGTTAGCTAGTGCCGTCTCCCCTAATCGACGGCACCTGTCTCCTGCCCCTCGCTCAGCCCCGGGGGTTCTGATGAGCCCACAGGAGCTTGAACGAAGTAAAATGCCCAACCCCCAGGCAAGGTATTTGCACGCCAATGGGGTCTCCTGGAGGAGACGGCCCCCAGCGGGGAGCCCCCAGAGCTGGAACTTCAGGCAGAGCTTCCGCCGGGGGTTCTGGCCACCGAGTGGTCACCTCCAGCTCCACCCTCAGCGAGAAGGCGTCTCCTAGCCCACAGCTACGGGCACATGCATTCTATGGCCTCAAATGAGTCACAATCACGTTTGCCTAAGTGACACCGAGCCTGGGGGGGCAGGCAGGTGCACGCAGGCACCACGCTCAGCCACGGGCCTGCCTCTCCCCCTCGGCAGGCATTTGCTCAGGGAAATCAGGGTTCCTTCCTCAGAACCCTTCTCAGCACCCTGCCCCGCAATGTCCCCACGGACAGGCAGAGAGAGGAAACCCCTCTGCCAGCCCTGCTCTGAGACTTCTTGCAAACGCCAGGCTTGACCCTACAGGAGCACACAGGTCTCTGAGGAGGGCAGGCGGTCTCATCCGACAGCCTTTCTGAGTGAGGGCTCACTTCCTTGTTTGCATTTAAATAGGGCCTCTGGGACGGACTGCTAATTAGGAGTTTGAATGGGGGGACTTCTGGCTGAGTACTGTGTGTGTGTGTGTGTGCTGGGGGCGGGTCCTGAGCAGGGTCACTCACTGAGCTGTCAATCCCCAGAGCCAGGAGCATGATGAAGAACACGACAGCCCAGAAGGCGGACCCCGACAGGGTGGAGATGGCTTCCGGGTACAGGATGAAGACCAGGCCAGCTCCTGCAAGGAACACCCAGGCCTCAGCACTGCTGGGAAGGGGGGTCTGAGCTGCAGGAGGGCCGAGAGCGTTCGAAGGCCCCGTGGGCCCCAGGCCAGCCCGTGGCACCTGGTCCGTCCTGTGTGAGCTGACAGACGAGGCCAGCCCCGGCCTGCAGTTCACCAGGCACCAGGGAGGCAGGCCCCCGGCAGCCAGACCGGAGGGCAGCGCCTCGCACCCTCCTCCTGCCCGCCCTGAGCAAGCCTCTTATTTCACAAGCTCCTCAGGGGCCACGAGAGGCAGCCCCGCCCCAGGCCTCAGCTTCTCTGTGGCCACGAGAATATGGGAAGCAGGAGGAAAGGACACAGGCCCCTGGGTTGGCCTGGCCAGCTGGGTGACCTGGGGCAACTTAGCCTGGGTCTCAGCTTTCTCATCTCTAAAGTGGGTCTATTCACACTCTCACGCGGGAGAACTGAATGGAGGCATGTCGAGAGCTCAGCACGGGGGCTGCTGGCACAGAGCGGATGCTCCCAAAGCTGTCCTGCTGCAAGGCACTCTGAGGGCGGTCCTGCCACACCCGCAGGGCCCGGGACTGCCTGGGATTCCCACGGACAGACTGCAAGAGGGTCCGTCACGTGGGCAGTTTGGAAACCTCCGCGTCCAGCCCTCAGTCTCACAGCCTGCAGAGTGAGGCGAGTTCCCCAGTCCCGCTTCCCCCGCGCGCTCGGTCTGCCCACCCACCTTCAGTGGCCACATCCTCGATGTTGACCTTGTGCTCATGGGCCATGTACCCAAGGATGGAGAAGATGGCAAACCCCGAGACGAAGCTGGTGACGCAGTTGATGGTGCTGGTGAGTAGGGCGTCCCTGGGGGGGAAGAATCCCTGTTAGTTCAAGTCACTGACACTGCTCAGGGACCACGGGGCCACCTATGGGATCTGCAGCTTCCGACGCCTCCAGTGGCCTTGCAGGCCTGTGAGCCCCAGGGCCCTGCCCTCGTTGCGTGAGGACCTGCAGGTGCACTAGTGGCTTCTGGATGAGATACTCCGAGACCAAAGTCTGGAATCAAGTTCCTGTCGGGGAACTGAGTCACCATCCCCTTCAGCCGACTTCCCATGGCTCCCCAGTGTCTCCCCACATCTCACCCAGGCACCTGGGAGCTAGGATGAGCCAACCTTTCTTGCAGGCTCATGTTCCATGAGCCCCTGAGCCACACTCTTCAGACAAGTCGACCAGTCAACTTGCTGGCCACAAGCTATCACCTGCCTGGCGCTGCTTGGGAGGGGATGGCATCCCCTTCATGCATGCCACCCATCCCGTGTCTGCCTGTCACAGCCCTAACTGTCCTCCATGCTCTCGCTAATCCCCCGTCAGAAGGCGGATCACCCAGTTCCTTAGCCTTCCTACAGCCTGCCCCCCGGGCACCCAGTCATCCCACTCTGTCTAGTCCTAGAGGGGTTGTGGTTCTGTCCTCAGCCTTTGACAGAGAGCGATGGAGGCCCCATGTGTGCCCACGTGCAGACTCTGATGCCCCACCAGGCACTCACCGCTCATACAACCAGCCTAGACATCCCACCCTTGCCTGCCTGGGCATCAGGTGGACAGACAGACAGTGCTGCCTGCTCTGAAAGCCACGCAGTGTCCCTCTGTCCCAGCTCCGCATCCCAGCACTAGTGGCTCCCGCTTTCTCCTCCTCTCCCCCAGCATCTGCTTCATCAGAGGTGCCCTGAATGGAAATGAGTCCACCAGGACCCCATTGGCCATGTCAGCGCTCAGGAACACCCAGGTGATCATTTCACGGAGGAAGAAATCCCAGAAGAAAGGTTGACTTGTCCCAGACCAGAGACCCGTCTCCCATCCCTGCCACCGTCCATCCCCAGATTCAGAGCTTTCCAGAGCCACGAGAAGGGTCTTACCTGTAGCAGTTGTTGTCAAATTTGTTGTAACTGGCGAATGCAATCAAGACTCCAAATCCAGCCCCCAGGGAAAAAAATATCTGAGTGGCAGCATCAATCCATACCTGGGATGAGCAGACAAAAGCCATCACCCGCTGCTTCCATGAGGAGGCACCTGGGAGCTCACAACCCCTCTAGGACTAGACAGGGTGGGATGACTGGGTGCCCGGGGGGCAGTCTGTAGGACCCTCAGGGATGCTCTGAGACCCAGGGAAATGAGGTCCAAATGGCAATGGCAGCAGATCTCCGATCAGAGCTGGCTCAGGTCTCCAGGCTTCCAGCCATGTGCTGTTATCACTCAAAAGATGGGCCCCACCGGCCCCACCGGCCCCAGGAGTTACCCCTGTGTGGGCTGGCAGGAGCTGCCAGGAAGCATATGCCCTTTCTGAAGATGCCACCTCCGTAACTCCTGAGAGGGTCGTGGCCCTTTGCCCTCACTCCATCTACACAGCCCGGAACAGCTAGTGTATTAACGTTCTTTACAATCAGGACATTAAGTGAAGTTCCTCCAGGGTCAGCTTCCTCATGACCGCCCAAGACCGGGAGGTGCTAGAGCAGGGGGTGGGGAACGTCCGGCCCACAGGTCGCATAAGGCCCTCGAAATCATTTGGTCTGGCCCTGCCAAGGCACTGGGGTGAGGTAATCAAGTGTTTGACCGAGTATAGCAGGCTACATTTTAAGCTGATAATTTTGTATGGTCTGCGAA